CAAATTAAAACTTTCTGAGTTAATATCATAAAAAAGAGTAAAAAATGAAAGACAACACAATTCATTGTTTACTAATGTGCAATTCACTTATTCTAATAGTAATAAAAAAAAAAAAAGACCTAGATAACAATCGTTTCTCGATACATGTTACATAAAGTGTACATTAGTAATTTCAGTGTTAAGTAATGATTGAAAGATGTTCCGAAGATATCACGCAATTGTTTGCATTACACACTTTGATTATCTCTTCAAATTAAAGCAGTTCGTAATTCAGCAGCAGTTCAACAAGAATAAATATAAAAATTAATACTTTTATGTGAGATATGCGACTGTTAAATACAATCGATCTTAGTTGGCTAAATATCCAATTTCATTAATATCTAATTTTATCAATAAGAATATATTAATAATAATATTTTATTGCTTACGTTATCTATCGATCGTTGTGATTTGCAAATTTCTAACAAATTCAAGCAAAAATAAACTTTGTAAAAAGAGATCATGTAACAATGTATCGATAATTTCGAGTCCGTTTTCACATAAATAAAGATGCACTTATTGTTACAACGAGTCCTTAAAACTTTGATTACGATTAAAGAACGATCTGTTAGAGTTTCTAAAATTTCTCACCCTGATATTCAAACTCCAATAAATCATAGAACCAAGTTTTGAGCTAGCGGAAAGAAATTTGAATTTTCATTATTTCCGAGGACAAAGGTATTTCCTTAGTTTAAATTTTCGAATTTTCTGAGAAACTTCGACAAAAAATCCGGGTCAGTCAAGAGCGAAACGTTAGGATCCCTTGGACTTTTGTCGTGCTAGAAATATAAAATCTGATGAAATCTTCCTCGGTAAAGGAGAAATCCTCAATTTGTTTAGCAATGTTGTTTCCATCAATTCCACAATAAATGGTACAGGTAGTGTGGAAAAAAAGAAAAAAAAATCAACGATATATATGTGGTGACGTAGAAGTGGGCGCGTGTCCAGTGGTCGTCGTTGTCGTCGAACGATCGAGTTGAAAACCGTCAGTTCTTTTCACGCGATCACTCGAAGATCCACGGCACTGGACGAGGAACCCGGTGAACCTCGCGAACTCATTTTCGATCGACCATTCGACGTCGTTGTCCACTAGCTCGGCTATATCAAGGTGTGAGAATAAGCCTGGCGAAATGTAAAAGCCTCTTCTCGTTGGAAGTTCACAGTGATAATTACTGGAATATATCATTGTTAAGGAATATTTATAACACGAGACGCGCAAAAGATTATTATTGTCAAGGAACACCGATGAAAAAAGAAAATTATATACTAGGGGATACTAAGAAGTATCAAATGTTATTAAAGAATTTAATTATAAATTGAATCGTGAACTACGATGTTATTAATATTAAATGATAAATTATTAAAAAAAAATTTGATATTCTGCTGCTGAAGAATATTAAGAAGGAAATAGTAAAAGGACAAGAATAAAAAAAAAAAAAAATCATTAAAAAGGGAAAAGGAAAATGTTCGAAGAATATTTAAAAGAAAGAAAAAACGGTTTTGTAAGGATTGTTCATTGATGGAGCAATATTGTGGCTATCGTCTTGGAGAATAATGATTCCATTGATATTTTGGAGAAATGGGTGTCAAAATGCTTGCGTATAATTTAGTTGATCGCATTTTTCACCGAGCGATTAAAGCCACCTGGTACTCGTCCTTTCTGGGTCTGCTATCGTTTTTAACGACCGGGCGAAAGCTTCACGAAACGGTGAAAAAGCTGCGTGAAAAAGCTCCAGCCGGACACAAGGTTTCCAGAATTTGATCAAAATCGTCGTGATTTTTTTCGATAGGGAAAGTGAACTGTAACTTCTTCTTTACTTTAGTTTAGCTCGTTGCTACGTGAATTTCCGGCTTCGTTGATGTGACTTTTTATTTTATCTGCATATCAATGCAGCTTAAATTTATTCATTAATTGACTTTCTCCACTGTAAGATTTTCCATCGACAGATACTCACAAAGAGGATGGAAAATTATTATTTATTAATTTATAATTATTCTTCTTTTTACTCTTCGTTTTCCATGGGAAATAACTTCTCTTTTTCTCTCATTCAACGCATTATCATTTATCTTCTTCTTTCATTTTACATTCACAATTTCAAATTTATTTATTATTTATTCATTGATAATTATTTTTCTTCATCTTAAGCATCTATTCACACGCACAGGAAAATTCTCTTCTATCTTCTTTGCAAGATCTCCTCTCTTTATTCTCATTCTCTCTCCATTTTCTCTTTTCCACCGATTTTATTTTTCCTTCTGTTATTTCCTTACATTCTTCCGACTTCATCTTCGTATGGTATAATAACTATCTAAACTATATTCGCAATACTACTAGAATTCGCATAGTCTTCGTTCGTACTGTTTGTACTTTTGAAGTTCCGAGGAAGAAGTTAACTACGTTATTATTCACGATTGTTGTCTGAAAGTTTACTTACAAATCCACGTATTAGCTGCATCATCGAGAAAGTGTTTCATCGTGAGAACGATGAACTCACAGCGATAATCGTGATTGTTCCAGTGTGTCACTATGAAGCCGAAGAAATTGGGCATCATCGGTGGCTCTTTGCTCGCCTTCGGGGTTGGGTTCTGCGCGATCGTGTTCCCCCCGTTCCTCAGATCGCAGATCAAAAAGGTGAGCGTGCAAAAATAAAATGGAAACTTATGAATCATCACACAAACGTGTGGCGAATATTACTGTTTCATTGTGGTAACGTTTGATACATTAAATTCGTTGCGAATGTTAATTTCATCATGTGTGTTTCGAGCGGAGATAAACTTTTTGAATGGCACAGGATAGATAAAAATAGTGCATTAATAAATTGTGAAAATTATTTATATATATATATATATATGTGTGTGTGTGTGTCTCTAAATTTATTCCTTTGTTTCTTGAAAATGAAGCTATATACATGTACAAAAGAACCAACTAGTTATATTACATGTACTATATATATTGCATGTATGTTAGAAAAAAGTATTAAGTTTACTTAAATGTTAAATAATTTATTAATATTTTATTTTATCGTTATTTAGTTATTATTTTTTATTTTTACTCTATACTATACTATGCCATTTTTATCACATATCATGAATTAAACGCAGTTCATCAGTGTTTCAAATGATTTGAATGATCGTGTAGTTTATATGACGTGTGCAAACAGATAAGATTTTTAGCAGTAAGTACTCTCATTATATAAATCATCGAGAACTGAGATAATAATTTGTTTTCCTTCCCGGGTTTGTTGAATTGAACATGTATCTAGACGTCAGATGTTCACACACATCCCATTACATTCAACTTTTTCACGACTGGCTTCCATCTATTATTATTCGAAGAGTAAAGTCGCATTTTACTTGGAACAATTGTCATTCCCTGCTATAGTGCCTCGTTCATTATGCTCAACGTTCGCTTATTTTCAACTTTACATAATTTGTTCCTGTTTTTTTTTTTTTTTTTTTTTTTTTTTTTTTACATCATTATTTGAATCTCAGAATCACGTGGACTTCTTCAACATTGTTCTTACAATTTGTTCTTCTATCGAACAGATAAATATATATTCCAATAATGACGTTAATAATTATACTGCGGATTTTTATGCAAATTTGTATTTCCTTTTTGTAAATAGTTGGAAAAGTGGGACAGACTATTGTTAAATATTATAGTAAGTAGTTTCTAATGCATTGGTAATACCAGAATTACATTTTGGTATATAACAGAAAATATATAAAAAATGTACGAAAACAGAATGTCTGATATAATTATGAAATGTAAATAAAAATATGGAACATAAAATAAATAAGTAAATAAAAGGTGTGACTGCGCTATAGTATTATTATATTATCGTAACATTATTCATAGTATTGTTATATACTAGTATTATAGAATAATCATATAAAGTATATATGATATAAATAATGTAAGTAATAAGGTGGGCCAAAAATCGCTTCCTACTGAAACAAATCCGTAATTTTAAATTTAAATTAAAACTAATGAAATTAGATTTTCCTTATATATTTTGATGTTCTATTAAAAAAGATGAAGAAATCCACAATGTATAATAACAACATAATATCATGATTATTGTCAATAAAAAATAGTTTGATTTATCAGGCACGTTTAAATATTCTTTGTTATAAATTTTAATAAAAATTGCTCGATACTGAATGTACCATAACATATTAATTCGCGTGCAAAATTTCAGAAATTGACAAAAAAAATTAACTTATCATACTTTTCTGTTTGTGATTTCATATCTGTTGAGGATAATGAAAGTTTTCAGTAAAGAAACCGCAGAACAAAAGAGCGTAAGAACGCATCAGTGACACAATGACAACACGTTAAGTATCATAGCAAATCATTACGTACACGATAGATAATAAATGTTTAATTGGGATATTAAGTCGAATGACTACGACTTTTCATTTTCGTTCTTTACGCAAATGATAGGTTGATGAAAGTTATTAGTGATGTAGGTCAATGTTTCACGAAACTCTGTCAATCATGTTTCACCAATTTTCAACTTCTCTTTTTTTCTGTTTTCTTTTTAGTTTAGTTGTTTAAACAAATGTAATATTTTTGTATGTTAGTTTTGAAGTGGTGTATTGAAAGGAATATAATCACATGATATATATTTATCATCCATTGTGAGAATATTTTTGTAGCAGGAAAAAATAGAAGAATTGAAGAAAAGACTTTTCTTTATTATTCACTTGAAAAAGTGAAATTTTGTTATGAAAATGCTGGCGAATACTTAAATATACACACAATCATATTGTTATATTTATTTGTAATTATATTGCATTACTTTTGTCTATATTTTATATTTATTTATAAATTACATAAATATCATCATATTTATTATAATATTTATCTCACATTAGAGTAAAGAATAAAGCTACTGCTGTTGATATTATTATAATACAATATTGAAAAATGTTTGATTAAATAAATGTCCAGGATACTAATAGTCTAATAAGATATTAAACAGCATAATACTACAATAAACAGTCTAATAAGATACTAAATAATGGCAAGATAATAAGAGATTACAATACACTCAGTCTACAATATACTCAGTCGTGTGTAGATATTAATTAGAAATATTATTCCCACAGCAAATAGCCCTGAAACCCAATTCCGAGATGCGAGGATTATGGTCACATTTCCCTCTTCCATTGGACTTCAAAATTTATCTGTTCAACGTGACGAATCCAATGGAGATTACGGCAGGAGAGAAACCAATTGTCGAGGAAGTGGGACCATTCTTTTACGAGTAAGTGATTCCTAAAATCAAACAAACCAGATGAAGCGCAAAAGCTTGTTATCATGAACTTATTTCATAATGAT